AAGTGAAGAACATCGACACAACAATGGTCATTAAAGTGCTGGGAAAAGTAAGACAGACAGACAAACAGACAGAAACAACAAGGGGAAAGTTTAGAAGTAGGGCCTGCCAGTGGCACCTTCCAACCACCCGAGTGTGACGCAGGCAGGTAGGTTAGGTTAACCAGTAAACAAGCTAAATAAAGTACCGTATTCTGGTAGACCGAACAATAGGAATCGATGCGTTGTGTGGGTGTGATTTCACCCGAGAATTTTGTTGGGGGCGCTGGGGCTTGGTCGGCTTACTGGAGTGGTCACAACACAGGAAGTGACGCCATAGAAAGGAATAAGAGAACATACGAGGAAAAAATACGGTGAAATAAATTGTGAGTTTGAAAGAATAGGAAAGCTGGTAGAAGAAGGTCAAACAAGATGAATTTGAATAGAAATGTGCCAACGAGTACATGCAATCGTAATTACTTCATAGTCAAGCGGTGACAATCCTACGTCGTCGGAGTTTAATAAATTTTATTTTGAATGAGTATCAACTTTGAACAATTATTGATTCCATTTGATTCCCAGTCAATAGTAATGGCTCTCAGCAGTTTAGTGGTCACACTCACTGACAAAGGTGACCTTCCCCCCCCCCCTTCTTCCAAAGCCCTCAAAAAGAAACTCAAATCCAACATTAGCAGCCATGGACACGAATCTAAAAAAAAAAACGTTTTAAAAAAAGAAAAAAGCCTATTCTTCTCTATATCGTCTTTAACGTGTGTCTTCGCTTTTTTGTGTTGGTGGGTTTTGTTACTTGATCCGTGTCTGAAGTCATTATGTCGCCTGAGCAAGTCAACTGAAACGCCTACCAACACCACTAGTTTAGTTCTTCTTGCTAATCCCATATAAATCTCTTTCCCCTATTTCTTGACAATCAAAGATCACATATTAGCTTATCACTTCCGGACCACTGAATCTTCCACTTTCCAAATTCCCCTAATTCTAACAAGGTTGTAATCTCGCCGCTTAACTAAAGGGTTGGGGTTCGTCTCTCACACGGAGCGGAAAATCTCCTTCATTGGAGTAATCAGTAGTCTATTTCCACGAGCTTCACTACAATAGTTTTCTCGGAGCTGGTGAAGTTTTGTGCTCTGGATCTGATCTCTTTATTGTAATGTCAAGACACAAATCCGCTCAGAGTTACTTCCACTTGTTGCTTGGTTACCCAATTGGCTTCGATCATGCGGTGTCATCCTTTCCTCTCCCACTGTGAAGATTACCTCCCCTGGATAGAGGGCCGGAGAAAGTTGTCCAGAAAGTTTGTTTGATGAAGCGGAGAAGCCAAAGATCTACTTTACGGAATTCAGCCGAGCTGAAGAGGGAGGGGG